AAAGGGTAGCATGATGCAGAATAACAATGGGGCATAGTGACAAGAGCATGGGTTTTGGAGCCACACATAATGAACTCAAACCCCAGTTCCAATATGAATCAGCTCTGGAGAGAGAGAACCACCTCTCCAAGTGTCAGTTTTCCATAGCTGCAAGATAGGGAAAAACCATATATTGTCCAGAAATTAACAATGATATGAAAAAAGGTTCTACATTTTAAAATTAATAAAATAAAAATAAAATGGGGATAAAAGTGAACATGCAGGATCATTGTAAAGATTAGTTATGATTTACGAGAATTACCAGGCACCTATCAAACACCCAATAAATAGCATCTATTATTATTAATGTATATGCCCTATACCAGTAAATGCCTCTGATGGCTTTACATCCTCAATTATTTGATATCAAAGGCAGAACCTATAGTGTAGTTTTCCCATTATCAACCTTAAATACCATTTTCTTACTCACCCAACAAAAGGGGCAGCTTTGATCTTGTCTTTGGTAATGCTCAGCCTTGCCCAGAACTTTGATCAGGGCTGCTAACCCATGCAGGTGCTTTGTCCTTAGTGGTTCTTCACCCTGCTAAGCTTTAAATGGTTTCCTTGCCTGACATCACTCATCCCTCCTCCCCCCTCCTCATATTTCTGGCTGTCAATTAGGGCAGTAATAACTTGGGAGGGGTAGAGTTGGGATTGAGATGGGACCCATGTACTACAATAACAGTGCATCAAAACTTACTTCCCATGCACTATGGCCTGCTTGATTGACAAGCCAGGCTTAGTGGGCTGATGAAGTAATGAAGAAGTTGTCAAAGAAACAGCCAATACCAATCCATCAACTCAGCTTTTGGCCTATAGTCAAGAGTCAGATGTGTCTGGAGTTCACAAGGCTAGGCCTGGGTCCTTCAGATGATTGCTGCCAGGTTGCCTCGCTGGAGAATAACCAACATTACATAACTCCACCATGTCATGAGTCTTTCCAGAATGTTCTCCTTTAAGTAAGGCATTATTGACAGCTGCTCTTCAAAGTGTTAGAGTTGTGGGTGAATCCATTATCTATTGTTGACACCTGTGCAGAATGAATTTCTCAGCTGTCAGTTATGCAGTAATGCTGAGTGAGATTCAGGCAAGTGCAGTTTAAAACTGTGGCTATTATGGGCTGATTGGGGGTGAGGTGCAGTTAACAGAGCAGAAGTAGGGTGTGAGAAGAAAATGTGTATATTTTTAAAGTAAACTTGACCATTCAGAAGTGGAAGTGTTGTGGCTCAGGGGACAAACTTTCTAGACTTCGCCATATTCCATCTTGCTTCAGGCTGATCATAGGTCCCAGAATGGAGCAGGTCCCTGAATTGTCAAGTGACAAGTGGCTTCACTTGCTGTTGGCCTGCACTGAGAAAGAGTAGATTGGTGGTGTGACAATGCTTGTAATACTTAGACATACTTGTAGGTAGGTACTTGCTGACAGTGCTGGAAATGGGGGTTTGCCAAGCTGTATTTCAACAGCCTTTTTCATTGTTGTGAACGCAGGAATTCTGAGGAATGTCAGAGTCAGAAGTCAGGATTTGTATAACACTGCAGGAAGTCTCGTAGTTGAGGAGAGGGGTAGCCAGTGAAGGGAAGACCCAGCATCCTGACTGGCTTTGATTTGACTTCTCCCCTCCGCCCCCGCCATGCCCACAAGTTCAAAGAACGATTTTCACTTTAATTGTAACACAGTGAAGTCTGTGAGGGATGTGTTTTTCTCTCCATATAACCCTAATTTTGTCTCAATAAGATCTGATTAGCTGGGAATTATCTCAGAAGAAAATTTCAAATCAATTTATGAAAACCAAGCAACCTCACCCAGTCGTCCCTCACTAACTTCCTAATAAAGACAAAATGCCAGATACCAGAATGCTCTATGAGATCAGTGAAGCTTGACATTTATGTCAAAAAGGTGTCCCCTCTAGGGGGAAAAAAGTATCTCCTCAAAGATTCAATATCATTAGTCCTCATTCAGCCCATTAATTATCTTGTCCACTCCTATCCATTCTCTTGAGGCATGATGTTTTGCTTATTTTGTTCCTCTTATTTCAGGTATCTGGCAGTTCAGTTCCACTTCATAAATATTTGCTGAGCATCTATTATGTGTCAGGCCCCATGGCAGGCAGTGAAGCTAAAGATAGAAATAATTACAATAGCGATCATTTATTTATTGAGTACTGCATTTGTGCCAGTGTAAGGTAAGGAAAAATGTCAGGCTTTTCTGCCCTCCCGCCATCAAGATAGATGATGGATCCTTGCGGTCCTAAATGCATGCCTGATGGTGGGCACCTGGAGTAGGCTGTGGGCATAGGTAGATGGGATTCACCTGGGCTGAGACTGGGCTTTAAAGGGCAGAGTCACGGGGACGCCAGGAGAAGCCGAAAGAGAAGCCAAGAAAGAAGCAGCAGAAGCTGAGTAGAAAAGCAGGAAAACAAAGCAGAGAGAAGGCCGGAGAGCCCAGATAGAGTGAGGATTTGCTGGGGGCTGGGAGGACTGCCAGCCTCCTGGCCTCCCAGCACCCCTGCCTGCCATATACCCGGTAAATCCCCAATATAAGCCTGAAAAGCCACTGAGGACTCTGACTCCTCCTTTACCCGGTCTGCATGGGATCAGAAAACCTGCACAGTGGTCTTCCTGACTTTACAGCCAGATACTTTAGATGTCTTTTCTCTTAAGTCCTCCCAACAGGTAGATACTATTATCATCCACATTTTACAGATGTGCATTTTACAGATGTGCATTTTACAGAGGCAGAGAGGTCAAACAATGTGCTTATGGTCAGAAATGATGGAAATAGGACCTTAAACCTAGTTTTCTCTGTTTCAGAAATCAAAGCTCTTTATCATATATGTTTACTGTCATTAGAATTTTGCTGATGGCCACAAAAATCCTGTAAATTAAGTTTTGTTCTTGTATTTGCAGATGTGGAGATTAGGACTGGGAGGAACTATGTGACTTGCCTGAGGTCATACGAGGAATAAGTGGTAGGGCCCGGATTTTAAAAGTCTTGGAGGTCAGATTCCAGAGCTCATGCACGTAACAGCTCGTTTCACTGCCTCTTTAAAGGAAATCTGTGATCACTATGTGGTAATAATGAGGTCAAGAAGACATATAAAGGCAATAAGACAGTGCAAACTACAGCTGGAAGCCAAGGTAGATGATCTCGGAATTGGCAGGTATTGTAATTCAAGTGGGCCAAGGGAATGCCCAAAAGGTTGTAAGGAACAGAAAACAGGTAAGTTAGGTTTAGAAACAGGAGATACAGTCAAGATGTCAGCTACAGTAGGCAGCTGCATACATGCATTCAGCCAAGGGATCACAGCTGGCTTATTCACAGAGGTCAGTAGATCCAGTTTCTAGCCTTAGCCCTTGCCATCCCTCCCTGAGTGATGATAGTAGGCAAGTTAGCTCTCTTTGAGTCTGTGTTTCTCTCAACAAAATCCATGTTAGAGTCACTGTGCTGTCTGTCTTATAGGGGCATTATGAGAATAAAAATATATAATAGCCATCAAAGTGCTGTTCAAATGACATCATTCCATTAAATCCATTTTCACAATAATTTGACCCATTTTCAATGTCTTTGCGTTATATAGGCACAGCCTGAGTTTATTTGGCTTTGTTATTAACTGATCTGAATGAACCTACCAGTTGCCTACAGACATCTAGAAAGGAGAGTCAACTATTATTCAGTAGCTATCTTCCTAGAACTTTGTCCTCAGTGAATTAAGCATAGGACTGGGCTGATTGTCAGTGACATTTACTCTTGACTCTAGTTTTTGAACCTTTCCATTTGGTTAAGGCAGAGGACACCCAAGTGGATTATCCTGAATTTGACAGAAAATTCCTTCTTTATTTCCTGAATCATTATAGCTGTGAATTTTTTGCCTCCCCATCCAAATTACAAATTTTGGAGACCAGGAACTTTCTCCATGGCTTAATCCTTCACCCTAATCCTTCATTCCTTGAGGGGGGAACCAAGTCAAGAACTAAAATCCTTACCTTGTTTCAGACATGATTCTCAGGAAGGTGGGGGGATGTGGATGGTATTACAGCCACCCCTGTCACTATTCATAAGGCAGTAAAAAGGATGGTCATACAGTCCTCTGTTTCTTTGGGATCAAAAAGTGATAACAGTGCAATATTAAAAAAACTAGCAACAACAAATGCTGGCGAGGGTGTGGAGAAAAAGGAACTCTTCTGCACTGTTGGTGGGAGTGCAAACTGGTCCAACCACTGTGGAAAGCTGTGTGGAGATTTCTGGACCTACTAAACATAGAGCTTCCATATGATCCAGCAATTCCACTCCTAGGTATTTACCCAAAGGACACAGAAACATCAATTCCAAAGAACACCTGCACCCCTATGTTTATAGCAGCACTGTTTACAATAGCTAAGCTTTGGAAACAACCCAAATGCCCAAAAATAGATGACTGGATCAAGAAGATGTGGTACATATATACCATGGAATATTACTCAGCATTCAAAAAAGATAAACACATGCAATTTGCAGCAACATGGATGGCGCTGGAAGGGATCATGCTCAGCGAAATAAGCCAGAAAGAAAAAGAAAAATACCGGATGGTCTCACTCATAGCAGGAATCTAGAAAACTTAAATAAGGGACCAGGAAAATGAATAACTATAAGAAAGTGAAAATCAAAATCAACAAAAAACTATGAACCAGAGACACTTTTTTGGGGGCGGGGGTGGGAGGGGAGGGATTGGGGTCAGAATGGGGGGGCTGCAATTGTATGGGGAATATAACAATAAAATTTATTATTAAAAAAAAAAAGTGATAACAGTGCAGTGGGGTTGAATCACCCCCCTGAACTCAGAAGAACATTGAGATATCCTGGCGAGCATAGACTGGAAAACATGCTTCCCACCTTCCCATTGGTCATCTCAGTCACCCACCAACCATGCCCCTGCCAACGAGTGTGACATCACAGAAAGGTCACAATGGGCATAGTTGAGCATGTCAGAGCAAGAAAGTTCAAGAGACGGGCCAACGTCCATCTCCTCCAAATGGTTTCTTGATTTATTCTGTGGTTGTAGGTAAGTTGAACCTGTCTTTTGGGGTGTGACTTTTTCATGCTCAAGAGAATTCAGCAAAAGCTGAAAAACATTCTTCTGGCCCAGAGTCCACTATGAATTTGAAGCTAAGCCCTATTACAGTTCTTGAGGCCAGGGAAGACCTTCCCCTCTCAGCCTGGGTATGATTGAGCTCTTAGATGGCTCATGGGGAGTTACCTGTTTGCTACTGCAAAAACATTCTGAATCTTTTCATTGTCACTCTAGAACTTTGATTTTATTTATTGGAAGATTTTCTCAAAGGCATGATGATCCATCCGTTGTGACTTTGGGACACAATCCTATTGACTGTATGACCTGAGCAATTCACCTAATTTTTCTGATTGTAGTGTTGTTTTGCTCTGTCCAATAGGCTTAATAATTCCCTCCTCACAGGTATGCAGTGAGGATTAAGTGAGATACTATGAGCAGTCAGCATAGTGCTTTGCCACAGAATAGATGTTCAACAAGTGCCAATTCCCTAACACTCACTGTTTTGGTATTATTGGGCAATATGACATGGCTACTTATTTGCTATAAAAACAAAGCTTTCTGTAATGAATAGCAAGTGGTTGACTTGTTAACCAGTCCATTTTTTATCTCCTGGAACTTAAGGGCCAGAGTGTGACTTTACATACTCTTTTTTAAAATATTTTTATATAATTCTTACATCTTTTTTCATCTTTGCACAATGTATGCATTTTCATTTTGGTTATATTCCCCATACAATTGCACATCCCCCTTATTTTGACTCTAGTCCTTCCTCTCCCCGCTCCTCCCTCTCCCCCCCCCCCATAGTGTGTCTCTGGTTTATAGTTGCTTGTTGATTTTGATTTTTACTTTGTAGTGATTAGTCTTTTTCCTGGTCTCTTATTTAAATTTTCTAAATTCCTGCTATGAGTGAGACTTTCCATACTCTTATCCCTTGCTTCGTCTGTTGCGTCATCAGCCCTGCACAAGTATGACATAGCCATGGAAAAGAGAAACCAGTAAATCTGAGATCCAAATCTGGGCTCATATAATGTAGTTAAATTTCCTGGGGATGCAGACCGTGCTCCTTCACTCCAATGGCATCATCATTAACACCATATATTCTGGGGACTGTGATTCCTGAGTTTTTGGTCAAAATACACAAATGCTATCTCCATAGTAATGCTCAGTTACTGAACGAGTGGTCAACTTGCCAAGGTCTCTGAGTTCACATGTTGCACTTGGGGCCAGGGCTATAAGCCATGAATCATCCTTGAATTCCACCCACCCACCTGGACTAACTCGTCTTTCCCTCGACTTTGCCAAAGCCAATGAGTGGCTGAAAAGAAGCCAGGTTTATGGCCTTCTTTCTGTACTTCAGAAAATTGGATTTTTATCTCCATATTAAGGAAGTGGGATCATGACCGCTCCCCCACCCCCACTCCTATAAAATATAAGAATGAATTGCTTGTAACATATCAGGCTCAATTTCATCATGATCTCTTTGTGGAGCAAGAAAGAAGGGGTGTATGGGTGAGGTTTTATGGTTCTGGACTGGTGATTGCTTATATTCACTCTGACCTTGAGGAGTGGCTAGTATTTATCAAGTGGGAGGGTAGCTTGGCTTCCTAGAAGTTTTCAAAGCTTCTTTTCTCTGGGCTTATGATTCAGATTTGCCTGTTTTCAGGATTCAGGTACCTTTCTTTCGCTTTTTCTACTTCAAGTTATTTATGGCAACAGAAGTGAGAAATATCATCAAGGTTTGATCCTAGACTTATTTGCCACCAATGGTTTCAAACTGAAATGAATAGACATTTCAGTTGTGGCTTCTTTAAAGGTATACCACTTGCCTTCCACAGCCAACTGATATTATTGGACTCAGTCAAGGACAAATGACAAATAGCTACCCTAGGCGAGAATATAATCTCCTTAGCAACAAGTGATGTGACCACATCCCAGATGCGAGTCAAACCTGAGCCTGCAGCCTACTAAGTAAAGGAGAATGGCCTTCAGTATCTACGTCTGAAATTCCAGGCTGTGTCTGCTAAATTCCCAGAATGCCTTAGTGCTTCATAACCACTATGGATTAACAGCTATGTTCCTTTGGTTTTGGCCCAAAGCAACCCCCGTAGTAGGTTTCACTGCCAGGACTGTTGTCTGCCTTAGAGGCAGACTGTGTGCCTGACTGTGTCTTCTGTGAAGGCAGGGTTTGACCACATGGCCTGTCATGGAATTGAGTTCCAGAGTTCTAAAGCATTTCTTCTCTAATTATTGAGCAGTATCTCTTTAGTTATTGTGACTTAAGCAAAAGTATAAATATTAGTTGTAGCCAATAAAAATGCCAAGCCAATTCAGAACTTTGGAAGGTCTAGCTAAGGTCTCACTGTAAAGTTGGGCCTGGCAGTCTTCCCAGAAGGTCAGTGGGCTTTACTGATGTGTCAAAAAGAGCCATTTCTGAGGCAAGGTTTCTGACTTGTTTCCACTCTGTCCTTGGCTGTTTAAATCTGAGAAATATTATCATGAGCATATTGGGAAATCTCAGCTCCCAAGAGTCTACTCACGAGTAAGCCTGAGGAAATGATCCATTTTAGAGCTGTAAATGTTTGTGGAAATAGCTCCTTACAAGTACTCATATAGAGTCACGCATCCCAGGCTGTACCAAATGCTTTTGGCAACAGAGAAAGCTATTGCTTTGGAGGCGTGGTGGGAAAGAGATGCAAGGAGGAGAGAAAGTGTGAACAATTTAGACTGCAAAGTTGGCCCAAGTGCCATAGAGGAGAAGATGATGGTTTGAATGAACCTAGCTGTTCACCTACCAGGTTATTTTTATGTAATTTTGATTAATTAGTTCTATGAGCGTAGTGTCACAGCAGCATTCTCTCAAATATGGTTCACCACCTCTTATCTGTGTGATCTAAATAAGTGATAGACCTCTAGAAGCCTCAATTTCCTCATTTACAAAATAAGGATAGTAATATTTTATTATACTAATGTCTCCCTCCTACTCTCCATGGCACAGTTCCTTCTTCTCACTCTTCTAAGTACATACACACACACATTCACAGAGACACACACACTCCCTTCAAAGAAACAAAAGGTAGAGAAAAATCACAATGTCCAGGCTCAAACCAGGGTCTATAGTAGGAATCAGAGAGTGAGGAAAAGAAAAATTTTGAATCAGGAATGCAAACCAGAAGGTAGGTTAAAGGAAGTAGAAAATGTCACATCCAAGCAAAAGCTGTCCACATTTTAATCCCTGGAATCTGTGAAAGGGCTTTGTACACATGTGAATAAATTAATAATCTACTGATGGGGAAGTTATCCTGGATTATCTGGGTGAGGCCACTATAATTCCAGGGTCATTATAAGAGAGAGCCAGAGGGTCAACAGCAAAAGAAGGAAATGTGACAACAGAAGCAAATGTTGGGTGACGCAGTTGCTGGCTTTGAAGGTGCAAGGGGGTGATGATCTAGGATAACTAAGTAGCCCCTAGAAGCTAAAAAAAAGCAAGAAAATGGATTCCCTCCTAAGAGTCTCCAGAAAGGAACCAAAGATCCTCAGAGTTAAGTTATTTCTAGAAAATAATCCTGGATTTCAGTACAGCCTCCTCTTTGCTTATCAGGACTAACCTTCTGTAGTGGGAGTTAATCTGTCAAGATGGTTTTCAGGGTTGTCAAATTCTTATGTTTTGCTCATAAGGATTCACATTAGAATCATGGAGGAAAGATGTGTGGTTTATTGAGTGGTACAATTAGGTGGTACCTCTGGGAACAGAGTAGTTTACCACACAACTGCTTCCCTCATGTAATTCACAGGTGTGCAGGGGCTAGACTTTTACTTGGCGTTTCCCTGAGGATCAGAGTAGTGGCCTTCAACTTGATCTCCCTCATGGCTAAGTGGCCTCTGAAGAGCAAGTTCACAGGGAAGAATTGCAGGCAAAAGTGGAACATATGGCTGCTATTTGTTAAATGACAACTTCTCTAGGGATTAGCTTTCACGTTACTCTACTTGAAGTGCAAAATACAGGAGGAAACAGACTTTTACTCCTTTAAAACTTTTGTAGCTCAGTTGTTAATAGTTTATCTAACTTTAAGGGGGATTTAGTCTGCATTGCTATAATGGGAATATATATGCTGTATACATTTCTGTCATAGCTATTGTATAACATATTACTAAACATTGCTTGTATGTTATTCACCAATACATGCTTGGCACTTAGATTAGAGAGCTGGCACTTACTACATCTTTTGTGAATGAATGAGGAGCTGTTTGTTCTGAGACTCAAAAGATACTGAGTGAATTTCAGTGAGGTTGGGACACAGGGGAGGCTAAAAGCTATGCTGTATTTAAGATATATCACGCTTTTCTAGAGTTAAGAATGTGGTCTGCTGAAGGTTGCCTAATGACCGCATCTTCAGAGAAACACTTATTTCACTAACATGGCTCCTATGTCAAAGTAACGATGTCCCTTGCGTTCTGTTGAGACATATTAAAAATACAGAAAAGTGCAAAGAATCATAACACCAATGAGCCTTCTTTTAGACCTACAATTCACTATTGGCACCTTGTCTTACTTCATTCTAGTTTTATTTAGGCACTATTACATTAAAGTTCTCTTTAACCACGACTCATGCCTTTTCTCCCATCCACATTAAAAACAAACAATATAGTAGACTTCATGCTTTTATGTACATCACCGTAAGCAATAAATATTGCTTTTGATTTTTATATTTATATAATTGGCAAAATATTTTACTTATTTCAAATTTTACTTTTTTCACTTATAATTTTTTAACATATACCCATGTAATTGTTGCAGTATTTTGCCTTAAACCTACATCAAACATAATCTTACTGACTTTACAAAGAGTACTTCAACTTCCTTCGTTTTGCAGACAACACCTCCACTACATCAGTGAAAACAATATACCCCATCCCCCTGGTTTCAAACGGAAGTTAATGTTCCACTACACCCATCTATCTTGCAGAAAATGGTGATTACACTTTAATTTCCCTAGTGGGGAGCAGATCTTCCACTTTATCTTCATTCGTTAAAAGCAGGGGTGGCTCTCTGTGTCCCCCACCCAGGTGGTATTGGCAGGCAGATTAGGGAGCTGATTTTTCACTATCCCACCCCTCCAACTCCATTTAAGTAGGTGATATTCTGATTCTCTCCTTGGCAAGGTATTGGCAGGCCTGAGCAAGAGGGAGCTGGTTTTCCATCTCACCACCTAATAAAAACATGTGACACTAAGAATGAAGACTCGAAATACCACTGGAGTCCACTGGGGAGGTGAGTTTCTACCCATGTCCAGAATCAACAAAGTAAGATGAAGAGGAGCAAGTAAGTACTGTTACTCATCCCTATATCAACAGGGTCCAGTAAGGAGACGATTAGGGAGCTCAATCTCCATCCCAGCCAGCAACAGTAAGACCAAATGATGGAGATTAGGGAAGGGCAAATCAGAAATCAGGTTGGCTTAGAGGGGAGCTGGGCATCCATTTGCACATGGAAGCAACAAGGCAAAACATGACTGGCAAGATAGTGAGAGTCAACCCTCTGTTTATTCTGCATTCTTTGGTGTCAGCAGTACTCAGGAGAGGTGCTGAGCTCACACACCCACCTGGTGTTAGTTGGTGTCCAACATTCAAAAAGGGGATATCAGTGTGGTGGAGAGTGAGCTGAACTCACACTTTACTATCTGCATTAGGATGGTGTCATTTAGCCTCCACATTTGTCAGGGTGGTATTTACAGTTTCAGACAGAAGGTGAATATTAACTTCACCCATTATTGCACATTATGTTTAGACTTAGAAACTGACTGTTATAAGGATGGTTAAATAGGATTGAGAGTCTCACAATATAATACCCAAAGTTTCTAAGATACAAGAGAATATCACTTGATATACCAAGTACCAGTAAAACCATAACTTGAATAAGAAAATACAATAGATATCAACAATGAGATCACTCATATTTTGGAATTATCTGACAAGGATTTTAAAGAAGCAATAATAAACGTGCTTTATTGAGCAATAAAAAACACTCTTAAATGAAAATATTAAATATCTCAGTAAAGAGATGCAAAATATAAAGAACCCAAGGGATAGTATACTGCTTAAAAAAATACAATAACTGAAGAAGAAAAGTCCTTTCTACATAGGCTCAGTAGTATATTAGAGAAGACAGAGGAGTTAGCGAACTTGAAGACAGATCAATAGAAATTACCTAATCTCAAAAACAGAGAGAACATAGGCTGAGAAAATAATAAGTAGAGTCTCAGGGACAATGAGCAATAACAAAAAAGCTAACATTTGTATTATCAGAGTCCTAGAAGGAGAGGAAAATAGTACAAAGTGAAAACAAAAGTGAAGAAGTTAAGAACTTTACAAATTTGGCAAAAGTCATAAACCTACAGATTTAAGAAGTAATTATATACCGATATAATACAATGTTACTTTAATAACAATAAAATAAATAAAACTAACCTAAAACCAAAATAAAAAAAGATACTAAGTAAATCACAAACAGGACAAACCTAAATATATCCATGACAAGAATTAGTGATAATCAAAAGTCTGAAAATTGAGGGCAAGAAAAACTTAGAGAGAGGCTAAAAAGAACTAACAAGTAGCTGCAAGGGACCAATAATTCAAATGTTAATGACTTTATCATCTGAAGTCATGGAAACCAGAAAGCAGTGACACTGAAAGAACTGTCAAGATCAAATTCTATATGCCACAAAAATAACCTTCTGGAATGAAGAGGAAAGGAAAACAGTCTCTAAGAAAAACTAAGAGTTTATGTTCCCAGCAGACCTAAAAAAAAAAAAAGTGAATAGAGGAAGTTCCCTAAATAAATAAAAATGATAAGAAAAGGAGTCTGATACTTCAGGAAGGAAGTAATGGAATGGGTAAAAGTAAGGGTAAACATAATGGGCTGCTCTCTCATCAGTTTTTCAGTTTGTTTGGTGGTTGAAGCAAAATTTATAACATCTGACTGTGGTGCTCTGTGTATGTAGAGGGTATGCTTCAGATTATTTTTTAAAAGTGCAGAGAGTAAAAAGACTGTAAGGTTTCCTCACCTCACTTAAAATAGTAAAACATTTGTATAAATAGACTTTGAAATATTCAGCATATGTATTGTAATACCTAGAACAACAGAAGTCCTATACAAATATATTGTAAATTAGAAAAATTCAAATACATTAAACATAAAATGGCATTCTATGAAATGTTCGAGTGACCCAAAATAAGACCTGAAAAGGGAAACTGAGGGAGTGTCAGTTCTCTGGAGAAGGAAGAACTGATTCCCTCCAACCATAAAAGTTGGTCTTGCAGAACTGGGCCCCTCCTCCTGGCATCTTTTGTTTGTGACCAATTCTTCTCTCTATATAAGCGTAGTCAGCCAATCTTTCCACCAATTCTTCTCTCTGTATAAGCCTATTCAGCCAATCTTTCCTCCCATCTATAACAAAGGAATTAAGCATATTCAAACCTTCAAGGTTTTAGAGGAAATGAAAGTATGTTTATTTTATAGTATAATTGACAGGGATTTACCTTGGTTATAATGTTTCATCAATGTAAGTGAAAGACATTGTTTGCTACAGATGGCTATAATTATTTCTGAGAGAAACTTGCAAGTTTCAGGGAAATTTGGTGTTTCATTTTATGTATTCTTCTATAGTCTCTTTTAAAAAATATCTATTTTCCTTCAGTGGTGAAAAGAGCATCTTAAAATTTCCTTCAGAGACTTCTGAGCAAAAAATTTGTTGAGCAAATAATGTGCAGTTGGGAAAAGCAGCTTAGGTAGCCAGATTCTCAGTGGATAATTTGATATTCTTAGATTGTCAGACACTGTACACCATCCAGGTAATTTGCTGCTTTGAACCAAAACACAATTCCCTCCCTAAACCCCCACAACTTATTTTTGTTGTTTGAAATGTTGCCTAACAATGGCTTTCTCCCTTCAACTCGCCATTCTGCACCATCTGTTAGGAGAGTGCCTATTTTGAACACAGTGTCTCATACACCCTATCATTCTTATAGCTCTTGCAGGAGCCAGGCTGTTTGGAAAAGGAATCCTGGCATTGAGAAAGGGAAGAAAAGAGAAAAGGTGAACCAGAATATTCAATATATTTTCATGAAGTTCCTATTCTAAAGCAGTATGGCGGGCCATCCTTTCAATGTGGGAAATGATGCCAAGTTAAAAACAGATTCCAGTGTAGTGAAAGCCAGACTCAAATCAAGTAGAGTTTAAGGACAAATCACCAATGAGAGCTCTTTGGATATTTTTGTTTACTCTTCAAAAATCCTTTAGAAGTCAGGATGGTATTTTTAGCTGTGTCTCATTAATGTTGGAGGTGGTGTCATGAATAAGAACCTAGGTTAGCAGTAGGTTAGCAGTAGAACAGTACTGGAAAATGTGATAAGGGCATTCTAACTTTGTCCTATCTGATGACCTATTGCTGACACAGGTCCCCTTTTAAAGTCCTGGAAACATCCTTTTTGACTGGACTGGCTACTTTAACATCAAGAGAGCTGGAGAGAGAAATGGAGGAGGAATATTTGATAGTTTTCTATTCAGCCCAGCCAAAGTGAGGTTGGTAGGAGATTTAAGTAAACAGTCTTACCTCTTCACCCTCCTGACCTTAAATAATCTTTTTATGGGCATTTGTTGGGAGAAACAGAAAGTTCTAGTGGATGACAAAGCTTGTATTATAATGATGCTCATGAATAAAGATTTAGGGGAATTGGGCATGGAGGTCAATATGTGAGCATGTGAGGAGTTTATTCTTCCTTCTGACCATTCACCTTCCCTTAGATCCTGTGATGGTGAATTTTAGGTTTCAACTTGACTGGGTCATAGGGTGCCCAAATATTTTATTAAACATTATTTCTTGGATTGTCTATGAGGGTATTTTTGGTAAGATAAATATTTGACTCTGTCAACCAAGTAAAGCAGATTGCTCTCTCCACTGTGGGTGGACTGAGTAAGAAAAAATATTTTCTTCTGCCTGATTATCTTCTCACTGGACATTGGTCTTCTCCTGCCTTCAGACAGCTATTACAGGTCTAGACTGCTCCGCCTCCATAATTGTGTGGACTAATGTCTTATTTAAAAAAAACTCTTTGTCTCTACCCTACCCCCCTGTTTGTCTGCCTGTCTGTCTCTCTATTTGTCTGCCTGTCTGCCTGTCTGTCTGTCTGTCTGTCTGTCTCTCTCTCTCTCTCTCTCTCTCTCTCTCTCACACACACACACACACACACACACACACACACACACACACGGGTACCAATTCCTTCTGGCTTCCATGATTTCAGATGCTAAATCCACTGCCTTTTTATATATTTGCTCTTGTCTTCAGTTTTTGGAATTTTTCTTATCATGAGATGATATATTAATTTTGGGGGTTTATCCTGTATGTGGTTCACTTAACTTCTTAAATCCATGGGTTGATGTTTTTTGATTATTGATTCTGTTCTCTGGAGAACCCTAATACAGTACCAAAATTCTCATTGTCTGCTCTTGGTCACACATTATCAGTCTAGTTCTCCCACTGGCGAACTTCTTGAGATAACAGAGAGGAATATGCTTGCATGGCTCCTTCTAAGAGGAAGAAATAATTCTTTCTTGTCAAAACTCACAGCCACCTTCTTTCACATAATTACAAAGACCCAAGTAAAGGCTTAAAAATTTGAGAATTGAATCGAGGTTGTGTGGCTGTTGATTTATTCAGTCTTGTGCTTGCTTGATTGTAGCTATTATTGTATGGGACTGGAACCAACTCTTCAGTGATCAAAAAAGACAAACTCATACCATTCGTGGCAATGTGGATGGAGCTGGAAGGGATGATGCTAGCCGAAATTAGTCAGAAGGAAAAAGATAAATACCAAATGGTCTTACTTATATGTGGTATATAGAGAAACCAAACAAAGATCAAGAGAAAGTCAAAACCTGCAAGCTCACCATAGATGCTTGCATCAGCGTACATCAAAGGAGGAGGCGGGGGTGAGGAAGCAAAACATGGAAGGAAGAATACAAAGGACTGTGTTGATGGTTCACAGGTGATATGGTGGCAGGAGAACTATGGGAACTCCAATGATGTAAGAAAAAAAAATAATAAATAAAATAGAACCAACTCTTTTGGCTGAATTGACTGACCAATAGATAAGTAGAAAAGTTATGTAGACCCAACCTATGATTCATTATGTCTGGGGTGTCACTGCTCTAAGTGTTCACTGAGATTGCATACAGTGTCTAGGATAGTACCACATGCACATGGAGGCTTG